TAGCACTTCCTTCCGAGGCGTGGTCTTGTCCGCGTGCGTCTACGCCAATGCGCGTATTCGCGCCCTTCCTTGCGCTCGATTATTGCCCGTCCCGGGATCATCTTCTCGTACACTCTTGCGCATGTTACCACTTGCACGTTCGCCTGCTCACGGCCATCCCATGTGCGCGCTGTCCACCCAACATCTGCCCCTCGTGCACCGATCGTCTCTTCCGTAAAGTAAACGCCCAAGGCCTTAGCCTCCAAGCGTCGTGCGCGTTGCTCCCTTGTGCACGCCTTGCACCAGTCGACCGCGTCACCCGAGCCTTCAAGCCTCGATCTCTTGAGCTTCTTGCTCGACCTCCTATGCCATCGTGCATGTTGGTATCCTCGTATACGGGCTCGTGCACGTCGCTTAGGCCATGCATGCGTAGTTTTGGCCCTATTTTCGGCCTTCTCGAGCCTTCTCGGCTCTTGGACCTTCTTGTCGCCGGGGCTCGAAACCCACTTCCGCATCATTTGCGTTCCCGCTGGCCAACCCCTGCTTGCCCATCACGCATGCGTGATCGCTCTCCCCCTCGACCGGGCTATTTTCACACCCCTTGCGCGCACTATGCTCCAGTGCGAGCATTTCTGCCGTCGCCCGTGCCTGCCTCTTGCGCGCATGCTAAGCTCGACTTGCTGTGTTCTTGAGCTGCCTAGCCACTTCTGCATCATTCACGTCCCCTTCAAGTGATTCCTTGTCCTCAAGGATGAAGTTTGGGAACTGATCACGTATCTCTTCAAGATCCTCCCACGTGGCTTCTTCAGATGGCAACTCCTCCCAGTCAACTAGTACTTCCCAACGATAGCGCCCTGCTCTCTTAACCTTACGGTACTCAATCGCTCGTTTTGGTTGAACTATGGCCCTACCATCGGTTGCGGTTGCAGGTAACTCCTCACAATACTTCTGCGCTTCTCCCATGCTCCTCTTGAGTTGTGAAACATGGATAACTGGGTGGATGTGTGAGCTCTCCGGTAACTCAAGGCGATAAGATACCTGACCAATGCGCTTTAGAACCTGATAAGGCCCGTAATAGCGGACTCCCAGTTTAGTCGCGGCCCTTTGTGTTGTGGTACGCTGTCTGAATGGGCGTAGCTTCAGGTAGACATACTCGCCTGGTACAAAATTTTCCTCACGCCTTTTCCCATATGCGAAGGCTTTGGCTCGGTTAATTGAGCCTTCGAGATTTCTCTTCAGCTCACGTAACATCAAATCTCGTTCCTCTAGTTCTCTACCAACCTCATCGTTGACTGTACTCCCCTCCGAATATTGATCAGCGTTGGGGGTTTTCGCCCGTATGCCAACTCAAATGGCGTCATCTTGGTCGACTCGTGGTAAGTGGTGTTGTACCAATACTCAGCCCATGGTAAAAAGTTTTCCCCCCGCTTGGGGAATTGATGGATGTATCACCTCAAATACTGCTCAAGGGTTCGGTTAGTTACCTCAGTTTGTCCGTCTGTCTGTGGGTGGTAGGCTGAGCTCATAGATAATTTAGTCCCTTGCAACTTGAAGAATTCAGACCAAAAGCTGCTCATAAAAATCCGGTCTCGATCAGAGACGATGGATCGAGGTGCTCCATGCAGTTTCATCACGTACTCCACGAATAACCTGGCAATCGACTTCGCGGTGTAAGGACGAGTAATGGGTATGAAGTGAGCATACTTCGTGAGACGATCCACCACAACCATAACACCGTCAAATCCATTAGAATTCGGTAGCCCCTCGATGAAATCCATAGTAATGTCCTCCCAGATTGCCTCGGGTACTGGTAGTGGTTGCAATAGCCCACTCGGTCGTCGTGAGTCAGACTTAGTGCGCTGGCAGTCATCGCATCGAGCTATGTGATCTCGGACGGTACTCTGTTGCCCGGGCCAGAAGAAAGTGTTGGCTATTCTCATCCACGTGCGATAGATACCCGAGTGGCCTCTAACCTTAGAGTCATGGAAGTGTTGCATAATCTGTTCGCGTAACTGCCCACTGTCGGGGACATAGACTCGACCTCGGTGTGGAAGTAGACCATTGTGCAACTCGTAGTCGATAACAGTTGTCTTACCTGCTTCTATCGATTGGCGTAGCTCCTGGCAATGGGTATCCTCTACTTGCGCCTTCCTGATCTCTTCCCAAATGGCCCAAGTAGGCCCAGTGATAGCACTCAACTCGGCCACATCTGTCCGTCGGGATAGTGCGTCGGCTACTGCGTTCTGTCGACTCGGTCGATAGATTATCTCGAAGTCAAACCCCATAAGTTTAGACACGAACTTCTGCTGCTCGGGGGTAACAATCCTTTGCTCCAATAGGTGCTTAAGCGGTTGTTGGTCGGTAACAATCTGAAAACGTCGACCCAATAGATAAGGCCTCCAGCACCTTACAGCCTCGACAACTGCTAGCATCTCTTTCACGTACACTGACAGACCCAACCGAGTAGTGCCTAGTGCCTTGCTGAGATAGGCTAGGGGTCGCCCCTCTTGCACTAGCACAGCTCCAATTCCAATGTCACTCACATCGGTGTGTACCTCGAACAAGATATCAAACCTGGGCATGGCGAGTACTGGCGTTGTAGTCATGACTTCTTTCAATTTTCCAAACGCCTCCTCGCTAGCTTCGGTCCATGTGAACCCACCTTTCTTAGTCATATCTGTCAGTGGCTTGGAGATGGTTCCATAATCCTTCACGAACTTTCGGTAGTAACCCGTGAGTCCTAGGAATCCTCTCAACTGCGTGAGACTTGTTGACTTAGGCCAATCGACCATAGCCTCAATCTTTCGTAGGTCGACCTTCACGCCCTCGTGTGATATGAAGTGCCCCAGATACTCCACCATCATCTGCCCAAAAGAACATTTGGATGGCTTTATGTGGAATGAGTTGGCCTCCAGAATTTCGAGCACTACTCTCAAATGCCCAAGATGTTCGCCCCATGACTTCGAATAGATCAGGATATCATCAAAGAATACCAGAACGAACTCATGCAGATATTCCTTGAAGATAGAATTCATGGCGAACTGGAAAGTGGATGGGGCGTTGCATAATCCGAATGGCATGACAAGACACTCATAGTGCCCCTGGTGTGTACGAAAGGCTGTCTTTGGAATGTCGGCTTTGTGGAGTCGAATATGATGATAACCAGCTCTTAGATCGAGTTTAGAGAAATAGCGTGACCCGGCTAACTCATCAAGCATGTCATCAACACTCGGGATAGGAAATCGGTCCTTGATGGTTGCAGCGTTTAGAGCTCGGTAGTCAGTACCGAACCTCCACGTGCCGTCTTTCTTTTTGGCCAACAAGACTGGTGAAGAAAACGGACTCTTGCTATGCTGTATTAGTCCTGATTCGAGCATCTCGGCCACTTGCCGTTCGATCTCAGTTTTCTGAAAGTGAGCGTACCTATAGGGATGAACGTGTATGGCATGTTGTTCGTTGATCAGAGGTATGCGATGATCGAACTCCCGGTGTGGAGGTAGTCCCTTAGGTTCGCCCAGTACTCCCTCAAATTCCTGGAGAAGCTCGTGCACATCTCCCTGTTGTTGCTCCTCTTGATCTATGTGCGCCTCAGTCTTCTCCACTAGTACGGAAAATATTTGGCCTCCTCCCCGCCAGACCTTCTCAATACTTTTAAGCCCTACTTCTTTGGCACCTTTTTCATTGCCCGCACTGAGTGTGACTTGCTGACCTCCGGAGTTGAACTCCATAATTCCTGTTCGATAATTAGTGGTCACCTTGCCTAACCCCTCGAGCAATTATACTCCTAGGACGACATCCGGCCCAACCAAAGGTAAGGCATAGAGATCAGCCTTCACCGTAACTCCGCTGAACCTGATTGGCACCTTCCGAAAGGATTTAGTGCATTGCAGCCTCTCACCATTGGCTACCCGTACCTCAAAAGGTTCAATATTCGTGGTTGGTAAGTTCAGCTTTTGGGACAACTCGGCATTGATGAAGTTGTGTGATGACCCGTTGTCTACTAGCACCACTACTTTTCGATCTTTGACCCAGGCCGGCAACCGCATCGTTCGAGGCCCTCGTATCCCGGCCATCGCGTGCATTGATATTTCCGCTTCTTCGTCAGGCCCTTCAACTACGATGTCCTGATGTGGTTCTTCCTCGTTCTCAGATCCTTCCTCATCGGGATTAGCAACTTCGATCACAAAGGCTTGCTTACACTGATGACCCGGTGTAAATTTCTCCTCGCACTTAAAACATAAGCCTTTCTCTCGTCGACGTTTAACTTCCTCGGGAGACAGCCGCCTCACTATCGACCCTGCTGGCCAATTGCTGATGCTCGGTCGTGCGCCAGCCGTGGCTGGGTTTGGCCCCGTGCGCCGCGTGTCAGTGTATCGCATATCCGCCCGTCGCCTTCGCGTGGCGACTAGATGGTCTTCTCTTCGGCAGGCCACCTCCATGGCGTTATGCATCGTGTCCGGCCGTTCCAGTCGGACTTCTGCGGCTAGATCGAATCTCAGTCCAGCTACGAAGGCCCCTACTAGCGCATCTTCAGACCAATCTCGCACGCGACAGGCCAGTCGTTCAAACTCCTTGATGTATTCACGCAAATTGCCTGTCTGTCGGATTCGCGCGAGCGCCTCATTATAATTATGGTAATCGGACGTGCCAAATCGAGTTAGCAATTCTCTCTCAAAATCAGCCCATGTAATGACCTGCTGCCGCCTACGGTAGATCCGGGAAAGCCACTGCCACCATATGTTGGCCTCACCATCTAAGTAGAATGCTGCATACCTTACTCGATCGTGGCCATCAGTTTCATTCAGTTCGAAATATTGCGCGATTCGGTTGAGCCATGACTCCGGATCACTACCCGTGAAGATGGACATTACGAACCTCGGCTTGTCGGGCTTAGGCCGCTCACGGTTGGTGGATGCTTGTGACCACCGGTCGAACTCATCCTCGTGCTCGTAACCTCCGCGTCGCCGGTCCTCGTCATGTTCGCGCGCGCGTCGTTGCTCGCGTCGATCCTCGCGCTGTGGTGATGGCGTGCAATCGGCATGCTCGGCGTGTGGGCGCGGTTTGCGCCTTGGAGGATCATCGCGATGATGTGGGGGTTGCTGCTGGAATGCGCGCAAGACCTCCTCTAATTGTTGTTCAAGTCGTGTGACAACAACGTTGGTGTTGTTTTGACTTTCGTCAAGCGATCCCAGCCTTCCTTCCATAACCTTGCTCATACTTCGCATCTGGATGTCAAGATTATCGATCATATCCTTCATCTCCTTGTTGGCCATGGCTTTTCTTTCTTCTCTCCGCTCATTTCTTTTTGGACTCGTGGTGGGAGACGATGGTGATGATGATGAACGAAAT